GGGTTGGGTTGGGGTGGTCTGGTAGATAGTCAATGACGTGCACGCACATATCTATATATACACATAAACATTAGGAGTTATAGTGCTCTCATGATACATAACTGCATCCACACATGTATACATACATGATCTGGTTATCGGCATACAATATGGTGCACTCTGTGTGGCGCAACATATGTGGTGCAATCTACGCGGTGCAATATACGGAGTGCAAGCTATGTGGTGCAATATATTTGGTGTAAGTCATGTGGTGCAATACATGTGGTGCAATAGGTGTAGACACACACATACACACACATATATATATATATATATATGGTGCCCTCTATGTGGTGCAACATGTGTGATGGAATCTAGGAGGCGTGAAAGATTCGGTGCAATCTACGTTGTGTGAGCTACGTTGTGCAGTATATGTGTTGCAGTATTCGTGGCGCAATAGACGAGGTGTATTCAATTTGGTGCAATAGGCGTGGTGCAAGGTATTTGGTGCATGCAAAGCACGACGAAGCAATGTAAAGCAGTGCAAAGCGATGCAAGTAAGTGAATGCACGCCGATGTAATGCAATGCGCAATAACGTGCAATGCAACGCAATGCCATGCAACTCAGCGCAATTGCAGTGCAATGCAATTGCACTACAGTGCAATGCAATGCGATTGTAATATAGGGCCCAGACGAGGGACGGCGACTGGCGGCGACGAAGCGGCGACGGGGCGGCGACAGGGCGGCGACGGCGGCCACATGGCCGCCAGACTGGCCCCGCCGTCCAGCGACGGGGCAGCGACGGGGCTGCGACTGCGGACACGTTGCCGCCACACCAGCGCCGCTGCCCAGCTCCTTGGACCACAAGCGAGAACCCCGAAGCGCAACATATTGTCTCCCTATGTGCACAGATGCATGAACCTTAAGCGAGACTTGGATGCAAGGAGATCATCGCGTTTCGAGTCCCCTCTCCATCGGGTCCCCCTCTCCCCTTCCCCGGCGCCGATCCGAGAGATCCGCGCGGACCTCCGAGAGTTTTTATGTTCATGCCGCTTCTTGTCCCCGCGAGCAGCCTCGAGGCCCTCCAGAGGACGAGTGCCGGCCCGCGCCCCGCCGCACGCGCGGCCCGGCCTCCCCGCGGGTCTCGGCGCCTTCGGCGCCCCGACCGAGGTGTACCTGCGGGGGTCCCAGATCCGCTACTTCATCCTCCCCGACATGCTGCGGCACGCGCCGATGTGCTCGGGGGAGGGCCGCCGCCGCCGTCGGTCGTCGTCGGTAGCCGACGTCGTCGTCGTCTTCGACGTCGTCGTCGTTGTCCGTCGTCGTCGTTGTCCGTCGTCGTCGTCGTCGTTGTCCGTCGTCGTCGTCGTCGTCGTCGTCGTCGTCGTCGTCGTCGTCGTCCATCGTCGTCGTTTTCCGTCGTCGTCCCTCGTCGTCGTTGTCGTCGTGGTGCGTTGTCGTCGTTCGTCGTCCTCCGTCCTCGTCCGTCGTCGTCCGTCGTCGTCTGTCGTCCGTCGTCCGTCGGCGTGGTCGTCGTCGTGGTGATGTTTTTCGGCGTCGTCGTCGTCCGACGTCGTCGTCGTCCGCCGTCGTTGTTGGCCATCGTCGTCCGTCATCGCCCGTCGTCGTCGTCGTCGTCGTCGTCGTCGGTTGTCGTCGTTGTCGTTGTCGTCGT